ATTTGATGAATAAACTTATCTGATTATCACTTTTCCTTATCACATAACCACTTTTATTTTTGTTGCATTCATTGTTTTGTTTTGTTTAACACCAATCTGAATATTCATTGATGAGGCAATTCAGCAAAGGAAAATTTCTTTTCGACGATATCATTTACTCAAGCTGTAAAATCGTAATTATAGTTAATTTACAAATAAAATGATCTTTTAAAAGATAAGAAGAAGATTACATCATATCATGTGTCAAAAAAAGTTGCTTAATAATCGAAAATTGAAGCGAGATAGTAGGATGAGATCGAATGTAAGAAGGATAATTGTCCATTTGACGAATATGAGAAGGGTAAAGAATAAATTAAAAACGTGGAGATGATATTTAAAATTAAAAAGATTGGGAACATTAGAAGGATGCAATAAAATCAAATAACCATTTACGAAAACTAAGTGTAAGGGCTACCGAAGAATGATGACTTGCACGTTTCTCTATTGCACACAGAGTTCAGATATAAAATAATGAATTACTAACGTCTTTGCAGTGCATAAGTTAACAATATGTGCTCTTTTCAAAGCAAATCGTCTGAGTGTTTAGATCATTTTAAAGGAATTCTCGGATGAGGCCATGTGACCAGAGTTCGAAAGATGTTCTAATATTGAACTGTTGATTGATTTACATCCACCTTTTGAAGGACAAGCGGGATAACGTTCAGAGAATCGTTTGGAAAGCGTTCTCTTTTGTAAGGTTTATGTAACTTGCTTCACAAGAGCAAGTGAACCTAGAAATGCACATCAGTATGACCCAATAAGATAGTTTGTCCTTAACACATCTATGAATGATGGCGTGGTGGGAAAGGACGATGCGGAACTTAGAGGCACAAGTGCTTGTATTTTTATATACCGACTAAAGAAAGAATAGAAACGTGGTCTAGGTAGGTTATATGATAGTAATATTCCGATTTTAATTTTTATGCTTTCTGAGGTCTAACAATTTATCACTGAAGAATATATTAGTAAGTTCTTTTTCTTATTTCCTATTATAATAGCAATTTAAAATGATCAACGAATATGAGTCCCATACTTCTAAATTAATATTAAATCAAAATAAGTTGGATAAACCAGTTCGATAGAAAAATTTCCTCATTACATTTATATTTCAAATGTCATGCCGCCTACATGAATGAGAAATTAAATGATATTTATTTATTTTGATTAATAAACTATCAGCGTACTGCTTACTACGATTTTGTAATATTCAGTTTGCACACATTGCACAAGTTTGATTAGTTTAACCTAAATGGTCTTGTGATTCCAGATTATAATGAAACATTTTCTCGTATTTATGTTGATAATCAGGTGATATCGATAGATAGAGGGTATTCATCATATTTCTTACAACTTGGAATATTTTTATTTAACTAAGAAAACTACAAAATAGAAATACTATTAGATCATTGTTAAGATTTTCTTCAGTGAACTATCTCAACCATATATTGGTCTAAGTCAGTTACAACAATACAGAAGCCATCTAGCAATAACTGGATTCTAGTCATCGGTAAATCAGAGAAAAAGGACTTATAATAATTTTTTACAATAAAGTTTGTTTTACGATAAACTCAAGAGATAACCAATCATATTAGAGTTGGATTTGTTGCATATTTAAACATGACCTTAATAATGAACCGCTAACAACAAAATCTTAGCGAAGGAGGAACTACTTTACATCATCTTGTTTTTAAATCTTCGAATACAAAATCAAGGTGATTCAACTCTTGGTAAAAAAGGTCATTTTTGAGAAATAGTAATAATTCCTAGTAGTCACACTGTATGTTATTAGGTTTTCTGCTGTAACAAAATATCATTCTGACTTCAATTAAAGAAAGCATTCGTCTTTACACTACTATTATTTTACAGTATGATCAAACACCAAGCACAATACATATTTTGTAATTATGGCTATGAAGTCACTTATTAGTAATTATTATTGCATAGAACACATAAATGTTGCTAGGAAAATACATACTCATATTATCATATGTATACGACAAAAACTGACATTGAAAGTAACCTGTATGTACAAAAAAGCACGTCTCGAGAGAGAATGTATTAGAAAACAGGTTAATGTTTAGAAATGTTTTATTCGATTTAATGATGCACTGAAGCTGACATTCAATTCTTGGAAATAATCGTTTGGAAGTCATGAATTTAGTCAGCCTGAAATAAAGGAAGGCTTTTACTGATGATAGGTGACCAATCAACAAGAATTGATTTAATAAGAGTCAAAAATATAATTTAACTAGTACAAAACAGCTTAATGAGAAAATTGTTGAAAAATGAAATGATCAATATATATTCGCTCTGCATGTATTCATACTTCTATACTTGGTAAGTGAATTTAACCTGTTACAATAAAAGGATTTGGAAATATGTGCAAATCGTTTATTTATGTAATCATGTGAGAAGATTCGTACTACTCCTCCTGCAAAGCACTAACTATCAACATAGTTCAAAATGAATTAGAGTTTATGGTGTGATTTTTTTACAACTAGGTAAATAAAGATCTTATTAAAATGGGTAAGACAGTAATCAAATTAGGATGAATCAAATTCCAGAATTTTAGTGAAGTAGATTCTGGGCGTAGTGAAATAAAAATGGTAAGTTTACATGTAACCTAAACAAAAAGAGGGACAGAATGGTAAATTGGAGTGTAAAAGAAATATAAAGGTGGGATCATGATAAGAATATGAATTGTACAAATTGTTCCTGCATATATAAATTTGTCCCTGTGCTATGTTGCTAATGTTTCAGCACTGCTTTAGAGATGTGTGTGTTCAATTTTCTGTAAATGAAAAATGATCTAAATAATTTCGAGTGATGAATCAGATGCTACATACATGCAGAATATATTTTTTATTTTTCCAAGTCATGTAGAGAGTCCATGTTTCTGATAATCTTTACAAATAAAGAGATTTTATAAATAAATGATAGTTTTAATAGTGAGAATATTGAATAGACAACAATATTCAGTCCGTAACCTCTCTCTGAAAATTGATATTTAGAACCTATCAATGACATGAGTCCGCCTCACAAAACGTATAACTTAGTTAAACAAAGTCCAACCACTAAAAATAATAGATCTTAATAAGAAATTAATCAGAAAATTAGATAGCAATTAAAATTACATAATAGGAATGTTTGCGTCAAGTTTCATTACTTTTGGTTCTCATGAAAACTTCATAAAATTCCTTTAATTAATTCTGTTTATATTAATTTTACCTACTCAGCTTGAAATACATCTGCATGTACTAAATAAAACAATTTAGAAGGGTTGTAATTCAAATACAGATTATAGGTACAAAGCATTTCTAAGGTTTAGTTTAGAATCAATATATAAAGGTGTTGAATTCCTTGTAAATTAATAAAAGTGCTTCAAGGAACTTTTATCGAGATTCAGGAGAATGGCTCCAGGAAAATCGGTATCTGGTTCAGAGGACATTCTATAGCTATTGTTAAGATTTTCACGACTGAAAGTTAATGGTTACAATATTTGTCCCGACAGTCTGTTCCGACAAACCAAGGAAATCCCAGTTATTAAAATTTATATATATCTTTGTTATAAATTTTCTCATGGAATTAAACCGTAATAATTGTATATTTATACGGATCATAGTCCAAAGTGAATTAAACACCGAAACATTGCTTGATCCTTTTGTCGGCATTTAATGTACACTTTAATAATTATCATGATAAACAATCTATTAATTCATTGGTTAATAAGATAGGCGAAAGTAATAAATGCATCCATACCAATCCTATTTCAATATTTCATATTCTGTTCAATTGTAATTTCCGCGAGATGACTCCGTCTAACGTTTGAACCTGAACCCACATACTGTGCGTTGATTTGGTTTAACATGAGTCAATAACCGGGAAACGTGTTCATGTGCTCGACTAATAGCTGCACATCTTAGATATGTGGGAGAGGGGGGGCTGATAAAACGACCAGATTTCTCTGAATTCGTTTATCTTAAGTTTATGCTTTATTTAACATTTATTTCTTGAGATAATAGTCCAGTCCACAAAGATAGGTGTAAAAGCTAGATAGCTTATTGTAGTATATCCATCGCAGTAAAATGCTTCACATTTGAATTCGTTACAAATTTACAAGTTTCATAAAGGTTGTAATGATTGATGAGCAACATTAATCAAAACGTTTCAATGAATAAATCTGAGACAGTTACTTTTAAATATGAGATCAAATGCTTAACAATATCGTATCTTGCCACTAAAATTTTTAGACAAACTACATTCCTCGAATAGTTTGACTGTTAATCAGAAGTTAGTTATCAAATTTTCGCGGGAAAATATGACATTTTGGCGATTGAAGAACTTGACTTCTAAATACTCAGAATCACTTCTTGAGTTTCGGCATCCTTACCATCTCTTAGATAAGATATATGTTGCAGAGCCAATTACACATGAATTCGTATTTGGCTAATGGTTTACATTAAAAATACGACATACAGATATCTATCCGTTACGTTTTTCTAAAAGGATAACCAAGGTTATATCGACAATTAATCATATCTATCGAAAGTTTGCAGCTATATCAATAAAATTATATTAATTCATTAAAAACGTTGTAACAATATTAAGTAAACGTAAATTTACCTTACTTCGAACAATGAATACTATGTAAACAAATCGAAATCTATTGTGTGGAATTTGTTGTGTTGTGCAGTAATAATGATCATAATGTTCATTATTGAATAATCATTTGTATTTTTAAACAAGAAGATATATATAAATATATTAGTCAATAAAGAAATGTCTCAAAAGTAATTCAACAATTCCGTAATAAATAAAAGATAGAAAAATAATAGAGAATAAATATTACCTATTATGCAAACAAATAAATAGATGTAATTTCAACGTTTCAGCATAAAAAAAATCATAAGGATTGAATGGATAAATAAAATAAATAATTACAATAAATAGGTTGTGTTACATTAGAAATCCTCTGGAATTTCATCATTTGCCTCATTGATATAATTATTAGATCCAACAGTGATTACAACAGAATTTAAACATTCTCGTCGTTTATATGGTAACTTCAAGGTGAAAAGTTGGACAATTGATAATAAAACCATAAAAGCACATAAACCCATATGTGGTGCACTGAAATCCTAAACAAATCAAAAATGAAGTGAAAGGTCAATGGTAATCCTTCGTATACAATAATAAACATACATTTTTCATGGAAATGTACAACTATACAAGTATCGCTTTCAAATATCACTTATCTCAAATGTAATCCACTACAAACAATACAGATACGTATTGACTATATCGTTAATATGAAAATGTCCATTATTCGGACATCGAATTTTCAAAATAAAAGGGCGAAAATGTACTTAAATGACTGCAACAAGCAAATAAAAAGTTGGGATAATCTAACCAGATTTACTACTGAAAAATAAGTTTACTATGAAAAATGTAATAATCCGTGTTAGTAATTTCTGGTTAATAGTGATAATGAAAAAAAATAGGACAAAATTTGTTTGTTATCTTACACTAAATAGGTAAATAAATAATTACACCTGCCTTGTTGAATTTCTAATTATTATGTTTTCTTAATATGTACTAGATACCGTTATGATGCAAGATACTGGTTAAATAAACAGTAATTTATGGGGCCGACCGGAGTAATGTAAGGGATTCTTAAGTGGTTAAATGTTCACTGGCTTTTAGTAATTGCTTAATACTATGACACTAAAAATAGACTGCTTTATAACAAGCCATTATGATGGTGTATTAAAAAACTTAAAACTAATCCCTTACTGTGACAATGAAATTCCTAATTATATCCAGTCATTCTCTATTAGAGTATGGTGTATTATACTGTTGTTGGAACTTAGTGTTGCGTTATTTTGGTGAGATGCGTATTTGCTTCTTTGAGATGTGTGCAACATAATACGCATGGATGACGATAAACCTTGCCTATAAGAAAGTTTTTGAAACGGGTTAATCTGAGATATAAGTTTTGAAAAATGTTAAATATAGTTCTTAAGAACTTATACATTTATTATAAAACAATCAGTTTTATTGCAAATTGTTTACCCGGATATCTTCATTCGGACCACAAGTGCTGATAATTTTAGTTGAGTTGTTAGCTAAAGGTGCAGTGAACTGTAAAACAGGCAACATTGCGAGAGAAATTATTTGGTTGGAGATGATAAGAAAGCTGGTTGTAATTGCTTCAGAAACTGGATAAGTCGCCTCTGCAGCTAGTTCTAAACACAGGGAAAACTGAGAGAAACCAAATGCTCCAAGCCAAATTAAACAAATGGTGATTAGTATTTGCTGATTAGGGAACCAAAATACAATACTTAGGCAGACAGAGCCCAAAACACTTAGTAAAAATGTGATCTGATAATAAAAGCAAATAAAACGAGCACAATGTGATATAGCGATACCCAATTAAAAACGTACATCACTGTTACAATATTCTTCAATTTCGGAAGCATACATCTGAAGATAGTAAAGATCATGAATAACCCTGTGGTAATTTCTCACTGATTTTTAATAAACAGGTGAATGTATCTTTAGAGTAGACGAAACACATATTGATTGTGTTCTTACTTGAAGTACATCCCTTGAAAATTGATTATTGTTTCTCGTTATACAGTTCTCATATATATATATATATATATATATATATATATTTATTTATTTACGAAACCGTTATTTTATTTCATATGCCATACTACCAGACGCACTAATATTTTTATGTTGTGTCAAATGACAAACGAATAACGTTCTAAGCAACGCTGGATAGCATATGAATAGATTGAAAAAACCCAGAGCAGATTGAGAAAAAAGGGTAATTAGTTTAAGTCACTGCTTATTTATTGGTGGGGCTTGTCCAGCTGGAATCAGGACGATAGCCTCAGTCAATAGTTGGACATCTCAGATGACACGATTTAATATCGATCCCTGTGACTCCGAACAATTCACTCTTTGTTTTCAATTAAATTTTGAGTCCTCACATTATTCTATACTTCTTATTTTTAAAATTAGCTCCTTCACAAGCCACATTTCTTATGTATGATCACTGTTATTTCAAATCTCTTGTCATTCATCTTATAATCTCTAGTGAGCTATAATGATGTGTTGTGGGGACTTGGGTCGATACACACTGTGCCAGGTCCTATTCTCGTTAAAGCTATTAGTAGGACTATAAATATTGTTGAGCATTATGAAATTACTGTACATAATATCATGTGGTTTGATGTTTAACCGATTAGTAACAGTAAAACTAGGACTTAACACAAATATGCATCACTTTAGTTCTGCATAATTCGCATTAGCAAAGTACAAGAAAAGTCAAACGAGGTGGAATAACAACGGCAACTATGTTGGAAAGATTGAAATGTGAAATATAGTTAAAAATTAACGAATAAGATCAAGGGATAAGAAGTACGGAATGATATTAAGTTCATGAACTTGAGAAAGATATAAATTAATCAAACCGGGTCAATGATAACAAATTCTTAGTTATAGCACCTAAAGTTTACAACTATGGATTTAAGGTTAGTGTATTGGCATCAACTAGAATGTCTAGATCTCTTCACGCTGTTAAATAAGGTCGTATAGATCATTCGGATAAATACTGACTAAATATGTATGACAGATATTCTAACTACAACTGATACTAGGCACATTCACTAGCCGTAAACCAACCAGGGACGAATCTTTGTATTGTATTCTCACTCCTTGACAAATAAATGAACATGCTCTTAACTCCAATTGTTGCGCAGCTAATTAGTGATCAACTAATTTGAATTATGTCTGTATTGACATGTCAGGGGTAAAACTATCCGGGTTGAGAGGAATCCCAGTAAAAGTGAGGTATCAAACCAACTTAAGTTCCCATTGAATATTAACGCAGACCAACGCTGAAGCAATATATTTCAATGTACGGTGACAGACTTACATTTAATCTATTATGCCGTTGTTAAGTACACTATGGAAACTTCTTCGACACTACGGCGTGCCTCAGAAAAAAGTCAATATCATACAGAGTTCATATGATGGATTACACTGTAAAATCGTGCATGGAGGATAGTTGACAAACTCGTTCGAAGTGAAGACCGGTGTTAGGCAAGGTTGCTTACTCTCACCCTTTCTTTTTCTCCTGGTGATCGACTGGATCATGAAGACGTCAACACCTGAAGGGAAGCATGGGATACAATGGACATCTAGGATGCAGTTGGACGATCTGGACTTCGCAGATGATCTGACCCTTCTATTCCAAACGCAACAACAAATGCAGGAGAAGACGAACAGTGTGGCAGCAGCCTCAGCAGCAGTAGGTCTCAATATACACAAAGGGAAAAGCAGGATTCTCCGATACAACACAGCATGCACCAATCCAATCACAATTGACGGAGAAGATTTGGAAGATGTAAAAACCTTTACTTATTTGGGCAGCATCATTGATGAACAGGGTGAATCTGATGCAGATGTGAAGGCGCGGATCGGCAAAGCAAGAGCAGCATATTTACAACTGAGGAACATCTGGAACTCAAAGCAACTGTCAACCAACACCAACGTCAGGATTTTCAATACAAATATCAAGACAGTTCTACTGTATGGGGCAGAAACCTGGAGAACTACGAAAGCCATCATCCAGAAAATACAGGTGTTTATCAACAGTTGTCTACGCAAAATACTTCGGATCCGTTGGCCGGACACTATTAGCAGCAACGTACTGTGGGAGAGAACAAACTAGATCCCGGAGGAGGAAGAAATCAGGAAGAAGCGCTGGAAGTGCATAGGACACACATTGAGGAAAGCACCCAACTGCGTCACAAGACAAGCCCTCACATGGAATCCTCAAGGCCAAAGGAAAAGAGGAAGACCAAAGAACACATTACGCCGAGAAATGGAAATAGACATGAAAAAATGAACAAGAATTGGATGGAACTAGAAAAGAAGGCCCAGGACAGAGTGGGTTGGAGAATGCTGGTCGGCGGCCTATGCTCCATTGGGAGTAACAGGCGTAAGTAAGTAAGTAAGTAAGTAAGTAAGGCCGTTGTTAGTACTTTTTCCTTTAACAAAGTTCAACACAAAAGTCGCAAATGTTTAACTGTGTTCTTTATTTTAAATAGTAATGTAAGTACACTTATTTATATTAGGAAATTTTTTATGTAATTAGAGCTATACGGATTGATACGAAAATCGTAGGGTAGATTAAAAACGAGTAAGATCAGTGTATTTCATAATCATTATAACTTCTGACCTTTAGAACATAATTTACTATAAATGGTTTCGTGATTCGATAAAGTAGTTAAAAGTAATTAGATAATTTCTATCATTTATTAAAATTAAATCCAAAAATTTGGTCTATTTAGTCCCATCCTTTAGTTGATTAAACAATTTAAACTAAATCGATTTGTCCTCTGAAGTTACGGTTCTATCATCTACACAGATTTGTACAAAACACATAATTATTGAATCACAAATTTATGAATTTCTAAAAGAAACACAGACCTTTAATGTTTCAATAAGGAATCCCGTTCTATCAACAAACAATGCAACAGGACCAGCTGCTAATAAGCCTGCAACTATTGTGATTGATCCACAAAACCCAGCAAACTGGTTGGAGTAACCTTTTGTACACAGAATTTGCTGTAGAAGAGCCGACAAAACAGTAAAATATCCGATACAGCTACTGAATGTAATTGTAACAACCCAAAATCCATAGAGCTTAAGGGGTGGACCAAACGCTTTCAAAAAGTTGCATAAAGAATGAAGTGAAATAAAATGTCTGTTAGAGTTGACTCGACGATTAGCTATAGCCAAGGTCGCCACATATGAAGGGGGTGTGATTGGTTTACCTCTGCGGACTAAAAATATTGACAAGAAGAACTGAACAGCAACCAATCCCAAGGATATGTAATTGAAACTAACAATATCGGAAGAACTCTTGACATAATTAGGGGCAAACGCACTGCCCAGCAATATGCCTACTGAATTTCCAAGAGACGCAATAGTGTTTGCGGTGGTACGCTGATTGTCGGGAAACCAATCGCACGCAAGACTGGTTGTGCAGAACAAACAGAATGGTTGAGCAAAAGAAGCGATTACTTGTCCGAATACTATCAAAATGAGACGTCCAGAGGATGAAATATTTATATGTGGTGCGCTACTCAAAACGCGCATGCACCCACACAATAAGTTACAAATGGCTGTACACAAAACAATGAAACGAACCCCGAGACGATCTATGGCATACGCTATTGGGAGACCAAGTACTATCGTAGTCAAAGGGTAAATTAGAGAAATGAGATTGAGAACCGTGTTACTTGTTGAGTAAAACTCGACAAAGTAGTTAGCAATAGGGGAATAAGATATCCACAAATAAGCATTTGTACAACTCAATGACGCAAATGTAAAGACAATTATCCATCTTGTTCGATACACGCGATAATCAGTCTCTTTCAAGTGATTAAGGATGTCTTCTTTAAAATCCTCTTGATCATGACTCAAGACAGGCTGCCTAAACGTCATAACAAAAGATTGATATTCGTAGATTGTAGATGAGTCACTAATGTTCACTGGTCCCAAGTGGGAATCATATTCCACCAAAAGAAGCGAAACGTTGTCTGAAAAATAGAAAGAAGTGATATTTGGAATATGTATTAATCAATCAAGCTGTTCGTCAGATTATTGATCATCAGGATAACTGACTCAATGATCAACAATACATGTCACATAAATCCTAAGTGGGATCAATGAAAGTGATCCCAGAAAAGGTTCTAAGTGGTCTGAAGGTTGGTAGTGCGGAGTTATCTTTCTACTCAGAAATAAACTTATAAGGCTGGAAAATACTAAAATGTCGACGTTTGGACAAAGCAAGACAGAGTGAAAATCGGTACCAAGCCCTGAACTGCCTGGAGATTTCCACCACGTAGGTCATACCTCCACATATGACCTTCCAAGAATGCCGATCAGAAAACGCAATTATAAACAATGACATCGAAAAATTAATACTTGAATCCTAGACAATTTGTACACAGAAATAAGATAACAAGATGTGTTAGGTTCAAATGCAGTGTAAATTCGAAAGACAAACACTCAAGAACTCAAGAAGTACATAGAACTTGAGTTTATTCCGACGAGTTGATGTTGTTTCATTAGTCTGAAATAAATACCAAGCACAAGAACTGAGGAGAGAAAAAAAATAATAAAATGAAAACATACACATTTACAATGGAAAAGAATTGTTAACAGTAACAATGACCAAAAGCTGACAAAACGTGAACTGGCAAGTAATTTTAAAAGTTAGGTAGTCTAACTCGGTCGGATGTCTAACATAAGCCTACGAGTAGATCAGCTGATATGAAAATTTATTATGATTCGCGTCCAACCTAAGGGTATGTTTTATGCCTGTAAAACGTATGAAGAGAGATGAAAAACTAGGGAAATATAACAAGCGTAACCTCATGATTCAATAAACACATCGTATGGACTTACAATTAGTAACGAGTTGGAAAGACGGCGACTATGTTGAATTTGCTTAATTAATTGGCCTTGAGAAACAACCCATATTGAAGTAGTAAAACACTATCAAGATTGATGACATGTATATTTCTTTTAAATTGAACAGAGTTAACAAAGTCTTTCAAATTATTCGTTTCTTATATTTAAATCATGTATTCTGTCAAGTGTGTTGAACCTTAAGTTATCAATGAAGAAATATCATGGTTGATATTATTATTAGGGCAAAACATTTGAAATTTTTGGGTTCCTAGATGTTTGGTAGAGAGATAATGACCAGGCGTATTATTGTAGTATCTAGTGCCGATAGTAATTAAAGCTATTTACTATTTTCAAACGCCACTTAGAACCTAATAGTGGTCATTTTAGGTTCCACGTGGAATGTGAGAGTGAGGGAAGTATTAAGATTGTCAGATAATCATTGTACTACTCGTACGTTTGATTCCCGTATTAGCGCGATGGAATACATCATGTTCGATGTCGAACTGGGGCCATCCAACCGCAAGTATTGCATAACACTTTAGTCACGTGGTAGGTTGGTTCTGTCAACTAGACGAATTCATTTGGTATTCCCATGTATATACTAATCGTTCGGTTTGATACTTCCCCACCAAATATTTGCTCAGGACTATCAATTACCAGAGTTCTATTTGTGTGAATAGATGTACTGTGTTCTGTTCTTTATTTCCGACTAATGGTCAGTTATTATTTAAAGACTTTCTATTTCCCCGCTTATATTAAGCGATTCAAATACCTATTTTACTCTGCGACAATACAAGATCCGTTGTGAAGTACTTTCCTCATATGGTGTGAACCCTAGGTTCATTCACAACCAATGGTGCCATTTTTCGCAGCATTTCTGTGGTAGTGTTATAGATACGATACCAGGAATTGCGTACAAAACCCCTACCATTTGCATAAAACCGGTGCACAAAAATATGACCAGTAACAGCCGTTGCTATAATTCTGAAATACCTATCTACATTTTTTTGCTGCCTGTTGTTCTGCCCATAGCATGCTCAAATTAGTTGTTCTGACCTTTGGATAAATCACTTTGTTTATTCTTTTGAGGAAGCTACTCACACGTAATGGTCTCGTCACCCATTTGCCCATGACGTTGATTGTTTCCACACGAAAGTTTAGTTTTTCAGCACACCCTATTCGCCACATGACTTCGACTCATTTTTCTGTTTCATTATAGGTGTTGGGTCACAGTTAATGCAACGGAAACTGCTGTTTCTACCACTCCAGTTTGCAAGTGTTCGTTTTGTCTCTCATTATTCGTCCAAACTAACGACTAAACGAAGCACATATTCGGTGGCCCTATAATTTGTGGACGAACCACTCAGATATAAGATAACGTTCGAATTGTTGGCGGGAATGTTGTTTGTCCACTCGGATAAATTATAGCTGATGTTAATGCATGATGAAAACCCAAAATCCAATTCCTTACCTTAATCTTCGGCCGTAAATCATAATTTTAAGTCCTCACACTAGTTTATAACCCTAATTAAGTCTTAGTTATCAGGCGAACACTCTCAAGGTCAGTCTAGGGTTGCCCAAAGGTCGTCCATAAATAATAGTCCTGTCAATACTCCTTAAATACTTTCTTATTCGATTTCCCATTCCTACGATTTCATTAGCGGGATATGTCGACAGAATAAACAAGATATGTACCTCGTTTGCATCAGTATTATCATGCGAAGTCAGATCTCGAGCCAGAAAACGTGAATGTTTATTAATTAATATCTAGCCTTGATGGAATCACCACACTCTCTGGCCGGAATGATATCACACCCCCGGAATATGTGTTCAATCAAACACATTGGCGGGTTTTTCGTCTTTTCCTTATTTACATAGGCGCTGATGAATATGTTAAGTTATGGCCTATTTCGGTATTATTACTAACGCAATTACAGACATTACACCAAAACTGTAGAATTGTTACGATTTGACTGCTTAATTTATAGTATCATACGCGAAGATCTCAACACAGTCCACGCTAACTCATCCTATCATGATCATCAGCAAAATGATATTCAGCGCTTCTGGCGAACACATTTCGGGCTGAGTAGAGTGTAATATATTCAATGCATAAGCAAAATGTTGCGTGAGATGACCATGCCTTCATGTCCGAGCCATGACATCTCGATCTCTTGTCCGTGCATTGGCATTCACCGTTCTCGTGACTGCAGGCCGTTTTGGAAGTTGTAACTCATGGTAGTGTAGACCCCTTAAGAGTGACAAGAGTATGTAACGTTCTCGTCACTCCGAAGTATTATGTTTGTGATCACATGAAACATGGATAAACCATACCCGCTATTTCCTATTGGTGAGTAGACATGGAAATCCTCGACTAGATGCTCATCATAAATCTACAAATTATCCAACTTTGAAGACATTTTGTCCTAACGCCATTTCTTGTCACCACTCACGTATTCATTCAGTCCCAAACCCTAAATGAATAAGAGAAGCTGTTCACTGAACCACTCTAAATAGGTTGTATCTTGATTGATGAGATCCAGTGACCAATGTTAACCTATCAGATGTTTTTTAAACGCTTAAACTACTCGACGTTCCTTAATTCTTACTCGTTTGTTTAGTAGAGAACGTCTTCGAAACGCTGACTGCCGATAAATTCTCATTACAGATTGTTAATACATAACGAATAAATTGATTGAATAAAACATAGTGTTTTACTGAAATGAAGCAATTTGGAACCAACTCCAAATATACACTGTGAAACCAGATGAACGGATATTGTCGTGAGGAATCGGGCAAAATAAAGTCTTATGTCTCCTACTTCTTCAATTCAGAATACAACTGTTTTTCTCCGCAGGTGTCTTGAAGAGTAACAAATTTTAACGATGGTGCAAACTCCAAAGAGAAGCTAACAATCAAAATATTAGGCCGACACTTCTGGAATGTCTCGTTTGCTTCAACATGTGTGAACGGACGGCAACAAACTGGCTTTCGACTATGTAAAATTTAAAGTAGTCTTTGTGTAATACGACACGAACTATTCATAACACCTACATAATTCTTTACCTGAAATGTAATTCATGGCAAAAGACTTATGTGTCCTTATTCTATATGACTTAAAATCAATTTTTGAGTCAAATTTGAACTGAAAGTCAACTTGTCCGGTGAAAGTTTTCGCCTTGATAGTTTTACTATGCATACTCGAAATTTGATCATAATTTTTTTCCACCTTTATGAAAGAACTAACATACTTTTAAATATATTCAGAAATAATTCGCTAATTTATTCCTTAGACCTGAGTTCAGATCTTGCGAGCAACACCTTCAAATACAGGATATACAACTACAGGGTATAAAAGACTTGAAAGCGACCTCAAAATAATCCCTCAACATTCTGTAAATGTTAGAGCATATATGAAACACTCATTGAGGTGGCTTTTTGACACACACACGCATACGAGAGGGTATAAAGAGAAGCTAAAAGTAAAACGTAAGAAATGGAATCGTTGGCAGATATTCTACTCCTTTCAAGTAATCGAGTACCAGGACTTTATTTAGGGACACAAATAACCTTGACGAAGTCCTCCAAAAGGCGATTAAACTTTGAAAACACAGATTATCTCACTTTAATTTACCAATGCAGTATATTATTTCCTCACATTTCAAAGACCTCTATCTCCACTAGAACAAACTTTTGGTATATTTAAAAGCTTGTTATATGGAGGTCCTGAAGATGCTACAAGTATTCAAAGTTCGACAACGCTTTAACCAGTAACACCTACCAATATGATTCGTACCCACCAAGCGAAATCAAAAGACAGAAGCGAGGAGGTTCGAAAATATATTTGACAGGCTACCAATATATCGTGGATCAACTGATCTGATCTGGCTAGCGATTGCAGGGGATTTTGAGTACGGCGTTCCCACTCGTGATCTAGTGCGGATGCATCTAGAGTGCCTTCAGCTCGGCTGATTCGATTAAAACTAATGTGGTCAACATCCAATGTCGAAACCTCACAGAGCTATTTA